ATCAAAGAATTTCTATTGTGTATGTATGTGTCTGTGTCTGAGAAACAGTTAACACGTTAGTACCTGTTTTTAGTCTGATACCTGCTAAGCCTCAGTACTGATTTTGTAAATCACTGCAAAATACACATAAAATTTACCACGTTAGCCACATTTAAGTGCACAGTTCTGCAGCATTAAGTACATTCACACTGTTTTTGCTGCTGTGAACACTGTCCATCCACAGAACTCTTCTCACCTTGGAACCCCTGGCAACCACCACCGTACCTTCTGTTCCCGTGAGTATGACTACCTTAGGTACCTCACATAAGTAGAATCATACATTTGTCCTTTTGTGGCCAACTTATTTAACTTGGCATAATGTCTTCAAATTTCATCCCAGTTGTAGCATATGTCGGAATTTCCTTCCTTTTTATGGCTGCATATTACTGATTTTTCAGGGAAAAAACAACTGCATGCCAGTTTAAACACATTACTTTATTAACAAGTCACTCTAAGCATTACGTAAGTACAACCTATATACTGGAGTATCAAACATTGTCTCAGTAAGAAGTTCAAGAGTACATTTAGGGCTATTTTAAAGAATATGAATACTTTGGCTTTCATTATTACATCAGATGAAAAAAGCAATTCAAAGAAGTTTTCATCTCTGTGATTAACAACAAAACCAAGTAGAAAAATAAGTATTTAAAAAAACGATACTCGACTACTCTTTGAGGAATTCATTCCCGTTTTCTTTACTACATACATACTCATACAATTACCCAGTAATATGAGAAGTGGTTCTTCACCTATATTAGGACCTATTATTTTAATTTGTGCTTTACTTTTAAGTTCATTTTTTTTTTCAAGTAAGAGTGACAGTAAACATACTGAAGTTCTTATTTTGTCTGGATCATAAGCCTACAGAACAGTGATTGTTGGAAATACTACTCATCATAACTAATAATCAAATTAATGGGCATTTATCATCTAGCAAGAAAAATTTTATGTTGCATAATTAATTCTATTCTAATAATTCACTGGGCTTCAATCGCTTGCAACATGGTCAAGAAAAGGGGCCGGCACTTCTAGGTTTGTATATATTTCACCTATCAATGGATCTCGTTCTCCCAACACCACACACACTTAAAAACATTGCTAAAAAAATAGCTGCCGCATCTCTTCACCCTCTTAATTTGGCTCTAAAAGTCTATTTAGGTTCCAAGTTCAGATAGGAGGAACTTCCAAGCAGGAAACAGTAGTTCACTAACAGAGCTCCCACAAATGGAAATGAGTCCATGGGCCAGAGAGCAGAACAAAGCTTTGTTCTTAAAGCAAGCTCGACGGACACACATGACAAAACTCAGAGCCGAACATTCTTACCTTCCAGATCACACTTCATAAGCAGATCCAAAAATCAATAAAGAAGATCATAATTCTGATCCTTTTCTAAAGTTAAATTGTGCTAAATACCACAATTAAAAGGAGAAGGAAATCAAACTGAAAGCTGGTGGTTTCAAATAAGCAAACTTGTGCTGGATTTGGCCTAGATAAAAGAGATAAAGTGAATTCCATTAAGCCCTATAAGAGAGTTGGTTTTAAGAACCACTTCTCTGAGTCAGATGTAGCAGATCTGATGATGCAGCAGCCATAATTTAGGGAGGCAAGAGTACGTTGAATATGTCATTATTTTCCTCTTACAATTAGTATTTACAGGGGAAAAGGTATGTGTGGGGGGATTTAAACTTAAGTTCTCAGATTTTACCTTAAGAAAATGAAAAGCCTTTATATAGTATTGGGGATTCTAATTAATAAAATATTCACCTTTGTCCAAACAAAGTTTCTTTCATTAACAACTTTTCACAAACCATTCTAAATTAGTACTCTTTATGTGCTTTAGTCTTAAGAGAAATTTTGGCTAACCTAGAAATTTATCTTTACATAATTATCATTTCAATAGATTAACTCATATTAAACTGAATATATTTTTATATATCATGAAGTTAAAAAGTCCATCGATAGTGCAAACACCCAAACAAAAGCCTCAATCTCAACTGTTCCTTCACAGCAAGGCAGTGAGCTAGCAACTAATGCAGCACTTCAACAAGCCCCAAAGTCAGCATCTCTAACTCATGGTGGGGCCTCTATGTCTGTCTCACAATTCACAAACTACCCCAACTCCTAGTGTCAAAAGCATTGTTGATATGTGAGCAAGGGGAGTTGCCAAAAACTTCCCCTTTCCAAGTTCAGAAATTCCTCTAATCAAAAACCAAACTGCCCCCCCCCAAAAAAATACACCTAAACTTTCACTCTTTTACAATGCTCCAGCCAAACCTACAGTCACATTTAAAATATACTTATCTAGAAACAAAAGTTGTTTAAAATAGGTTCAGGAAAGGCCGCACATCCTTCATATATTCCTACACAGAGAACTGTGTCTCAGATATGAAAAGCACAACCTGATGGGTTTTTACCTGCAGAATTATATCACCCGTAGAGCACAAAGGGCACAGCATCACCATCGCCAGTGCCCCAGGGCACTCACACAAAACCCAGCAGCCTTGGCTTCAGTTCTTAAAGGCTCCACATTTACTGGCTTTAGCAATGAATTCCTTTAGCAGGGGGCCATCCATTTGCCAAAACGCTGCAGTCTGTGTAACTTCTGTCAAATGATTGATGCAAAACTTAAAGCAGAATTCTTCTAAATCCTGGACATACACAACAAAAATAAAAACAAGAAGAGGGCCTTTTTTTAATTAACTTTGATTGAATTACCTCTCTCTAAATCCCTCACCCCAAATCTCTCACCCTCCCCCAGAAAAGACAGGTGAGGCAAGAAACCTCAAATTAAGCAAACAAGCGACCACAGGTAGGTGTCAGAAAAACATACTATTTACTCACAACACAGTAAAAGTGATGGTTCCCCTACCTGTCTGACTCTTCAAAACGTGCCCACATGCACACACAGTCTATGAGGGGAAATTTCCACATGGTTATCACATAGACTACTCATATTCAAAGACAGTGTTTCAAAAAGCTGAAAGCAACTTTAGTCCATATCATATGTTTTACTACAGTCAAGAAGTCAGAGAAAAGAAGATGTGGGTTATTTAGTTTAAGGAAGACCTTAAGAAATAGAAAAGTGATGAAGAGATGTAGTCGACCTAAAATGACACATTAAAAAAAATTCTGAGGATCTTAAATTCATTTTTGTGATCTCTTAAAAATAAAAATGACTTTATTTTTAAAACCACAAAGAATAATACACAACTTCCACCACAGTAATTTCTCAGATAGTCAATAATAGGGAAGAATATCCACAGAGACTGGAGTTTTCAGTCAGACAAAAGGAATCGTCAACTACCAACATTCAGAAGGAAAGTAATATATACAAGTATAAACCAGAACAATTTAAAAATCTATTTCTGCCTCACTAATACATCCTATCGCCTCCAGAAAAACTCTACTATACTGTTGTTTGTTCCTTCCAATGTTGGAACATATATTTATTAAATCAATTAGGTACCTGAAATGTACACACAGACTAAGTATATAAGAGCAAATTCCACAAATACCTCGATTTTTATTACTTGGATATACTGAAGGTACTCAATGTTCTATCAAACCAGGAACTCAACATTTAAACCATATGGTCTTGGTTTTATGTTTCTAGTTAACCATGAAATAAGAATTTTAGACAGAGTGAGCAAGGGCCCATACAAACACGGACACACCCCTTTTCTGCTTTCAGACCCCTGAAAACAAATACTTTCTATACCCTAAAGATCCCTCTGTCCCTAGCTGAGAGACCTTAAGAAATAGTTATAAACCAGTAGGAGATAAACCCCATCTAACGTGTTTCAGCCAGCTGCTGCCAGTTTTGTTTTCCAGATAATTCAAAATGCATTTAAAATGTTAGCACAATCTCTGGATCCATATTTTTAATAAGAAATTCCCAGTGGGCTGAATGAATGTACAGCTGAATACTCTGCATATTATAATAAACTAAAATGTAAAACTATATAAAACATTCCTTCTCACATTATTAAAGAAAAAGCACTACTCCTGCTATTATAACTCAATGTTTAATAAATAGCTCTAGGTACTAAATTATATTCCACAGGAAGATAAGTCATATTTTAATCTTATTTATCAAAAACAGAAAACTAGTTTATCTATACATAACTTAGGAAGCAGCCAGTCATGAGCACAAAAAGTTCTTCAAATCATGTAATGTATCAGATAAAGATCTTTAAATATTAAGTTTTAATTTTATAATTTCAAAATCAAAGGGAAAGAAGAGTGCAATAAATTCTGGCATTGTAAAACCTTATCGCTTCCAGGTCTACTAATTTGGAATTCAAGATTTTGTAGTATATATGAAAAATGAGTTGAGTTGTTCTCTGGAGCATCTGAGATCTTGCTCCCTGGCACATGTCATTAGTTTGGTTCAAATAAATTCTAATAAAAATTCAAAAAAAAAACAAAAACAAAAACTGAGTTTACTCAGTTTACTCATTGTACAGATTACCTTGAATATAAACTTAAGAACTTTTTTACATAGTATAAGTATAGCAATGGTGCTTCTAATTACAAATCAGTTCCTATATCTTTAACAACAGTATGCCTTCCTTTTCCCCTCCAATTAGTTTGAATTGGAGAGATTTCTCAGTGTTCAACAAATGCTTAACAGCTTTAAGCATTAAAAGTCTAACTGGAGAACATGGAAAATAAACTAAATCGCCATTGTTTAAATAAGTAACTGAACCTTGTTTAAGGCAGGTCTATGGATAAGGAAGCACTGAATGCACTTGGAGAAAGAGAGACTGAAATGTGTTAAGTTCTTTGCATTAATCGTACAGTGGCATGGCCAAACCGATTCACTGAGCAACTGATGCCCTGAACCGACTCGCCTTTGATGTGTGACTCAGATAAATATCTTTCTGATAATTCTTAAATACTATAAGAACCTACATGATCTGTTCCCCCTCATTCTGCAAATGATCAGATCTTCAATTACCTATAAAAGAAAATCTGACTCTTACTCAACCAATATGCCAACAATAATAGGGCTGCTGGGCTTTAAATAAAACATTTCCAAGAAGGACAAGAATGATCACCAGTAAATGAATAAAATTCATAATATAATGAGTCTTCTCAAGGCTCATGAAATAAAGAAGTAGAAGAGGGTGTAAAATCAAGGGGTCTAATAAGGTATTCTTGGTATTTTAGAAACTGAAGCTCATGTTTGTGACATTTTGTGGTGAAATTATTATGAATTCGGAAGCAAATAGGGTAACATCAGATTTGCTGTAATTAGTAAAAGATCAAAACTAAAAATTGCTATTCTGAAATAATTTATAATTTCATTCTAAATTTTTAAACATTTAAATTAATTATTCTAATCCCTATATATACTCTGAAAATAAGTTGTTTCTCCTTTCCACAGATTTTCTTTAGTAATAAAACAGAACAGAGAATTGATGGTCATAATACCAACATTTTTTAAATGCTGATACATTTAACAGAGGTATCAGGTCCTAAAATCCTGAAGCTAAAATAGCTGGACGCTAAGACTTGTCATGGAAGGCCACTTAGCCATGGTAAGACAGCCTGCCATTGTGTCACAAGCCACCCTTGAGACACAATCCAGCCGGCAAGAGATGGTGAGCCACATCTAACTCTGTCTAAACTTGTTAAACTGCAAAACGAAACCCCCAAACCTTAAAGTTAAGTTTAAAATTCATTTTATAGTATATCAAGTACAAAATATTCCAAATCAAAGTGGAGTTTGTTTGTTTGTTTTTAAGAATGTATTTAAATACCTTACACATGGGAAAAAATTTTTTATTATCTACTGATAATAAAAAACTTTCAAACTGGCTGTCAGAAAAAAGAAAAAAATGCTGACCATTTTGCTTTAGCAGAGTTTGCCAATATTCGCAATGCAAATCAATTTTGGAATTATACTTCTGGGCTCATATTTACTGCTTCCCACCAAAAGCAACATTATAGACATAAGTTGCTCAGCGAGTAGGATTTTCTGGAAAGTTCTCTAATTTGGTTAAACAAATAATACTTCGCACTGTTTCTCCTAACGTTCAAATACACATAGAAAACAAAAATCTCTTAAAAAGAAACGGTATAAAAAGAAGCATTTAAGTTTTTTTATAATGTGACACAGATGGTTCAATGTTTTACTCATATTTTCTCCCTTGATGTCAATATTTATTCCGATTTGTGCTACAGAATATTTAAGTGCTCCTTCTCCAAGTCCTGCTATACTATTAAAACCAATAGAAAGGTTGACTATGCATTCATAATGCAAATGTTCCATAATAGTCAGCTTACTTTCAAAAATCTTCCTAACTACTGAGTCAATAAATAAATTTTTGTTGCTTTTATGTGTGTATATTTGCTTCAAAATTACCTTGTCAAAAGGAGGTATGGAGGAACCACAATAACTTTTCTAGATAAGCGAAGAAATGTGAGAAGCAGGTAGTCTCTAGTTTCAACCCACAGAGTGAAGGAAATGTCATCTAGTATCCCCAGGTTGAACTTCTCAAAATAGTAGTTTTTGCAATTAATTTCCATGTGGCTTAGTAGTAGCTTCCATCAACTAGTAGATATAGTAAGTGGGTTTAATTTTACATTCCAAAGACTTCATTTATTCACTTACTATATTTGATAGCATTAAGGAAATAAAATGTTAAAGTACCTTAAACAATTATATAACTCCTATCAGAACCAAAAATATACAGCCTAGATAGAAGTGATTCTTTTCATTTTGTCTTCCATTTTCTATTTTTTTCTATATTCAATGTGTAGTATTTGTAGGTTTGTTTGTTTGTTTGTTTTTTACGTTTTTTAATAAGCACACCTCCATGGTTAGGTATTTCAAATATATTCATTCATTTGTTTAACTCAACATATATTTCTGAATACCAACTATATGCCTGCACTGTGACAGACTCTGGGGAATCATGCATTTGTGATATATAATAAGGGACAATTTTTAATATGTTTATATTTAATATGAGAAAAATAAAAACTAGTAAAAGAGAATGATCAGCTGGCATAAAGACTTTATCTGTAAACATTCTAGGGTAGATTTTAGCTGGAAGTGAGGAAGAAATTTCTGGCAACTAGAGTCAAGATGATTGCCTCTGCCCAGGTGATTTTTGTGAGCCAGATCCCATCCCAAGAATAAGAAACTCACTAGCAATGAGGAGGAGTACGGAGAGGCACAAAAAAGATTCTAAAATCAATCACTTAATGAAGAGAAAAGGCACCAGCCAATTTAAAATTAGATCACTGGGTGGAAATTAAGAAGTTAAATCTAAAGAAACAGCATTTCTAATAATAAAGCTCATGGTGTCAAAGAAAGAGTAGGAAAAAAAAACTATACTTCCATTTCCTGTTAGAAATAATATCTTTTGATCATTTTTCCATATGTTGAAAGGGCCACAGAGAAAGTCAGCTATATTTGATCTTAACAGATATTTATAACCATAATATAATCTCAAATAAAAATAGGATACATTTGGAAAATACATGACACAATGATTCACTTCAATCTCTAAGTGTGATAAAGATGAAGTCTGTCCTCCACCACACCTCCAAGTCCGTATCTGCAAATCTTTGCAGGTATTTGGAGACATTTTGAACTCCAAAGCTACCTTTTATTCCCTATGAATTTGTAAAACCAACCATACCAGCCTTTAGTTCCCTGATTATCCTCAAAGCTGCCTTCAGGGGGTTCCACAAACATTTATCGTCCAGAGCCTACTACGTGCCAGGCACAAGAGAGTACACGAATGAATAAGATACAGTTCCTGCTCGTGAGGAGCTTACAATCTAATGTTGCTTTGGTTCTTAACTCTAAAAAAAATGCACATAAACATAAAATTTCAGACTCCCAAAAGCCCTTTCACTTACAAACTCTCTAGAGATCCATGAATTCCAGATGAAGAATTCAATCCAGTGTAAAAACAAATAAAAAGGAGTCTGGAGCAAGTTCTTTGCACATAAATAATTGTGTTATGTTTAGATGATAACAAGAATTTCAGAGCATACCCAGATATAAATCATAAAGTATCCTTGGCTTATGACAGGGCAGAATTGGGAGACAGCACAAGTGGGTCTTGAAAAAAATATATATATGCTGATTTTGAGAAATACTTGAACTAAAATATGCTGTTTGTTAGTCCAATTAGATATGTATTTCATATTTCGATGTGTAGTACAGCTGCAGGGACCTCAGTTTCTTTTCTTAGTTAAAAATGAAAGTAGAGGAGCAACCATTTTTGAAACTATGAACAGAGAACGAGAACGCCAGATTTCGTTTTTCAGGAGTCAGTCAGTTCATTGATTCCCTAAATAGAAGGGAAGTTACTCAATGTGGTCCTTGTCTCATGTGAGGAGGAGGAGAGAAAGATGCACACAGGGAGTGAAGGGTGGGTTGAGTTTTTGTTTGTGGTTTTATGTTACCTCTGCATCATATCTGACCGCAGCAGAGAATAATGAAAAGGCATTCTCCACAGTGATTCCTCGCTTGATAATGTGCTGACAAAGTTTTTTCAATCTGTTTTCACAGTAAGATGTTGCCAAATCCAAAAGACCTAAAAGTAAAAAGTGTGGAAAGTTTAATAAAGTTTATGATAATTTCCCATAATTATATACATATATATACACACACATATGTGTGTATGTGTATGTGTGTGTGTGTGTCCGTGTGTGTGTGTATTTCATTTTGGTGCACAGAGTTATGTAGGTAAATCAGCAGAAGTTTCTTAGAAAATACTACTCTGAGTTTTATTAAATAAGTTCTCTTCCTTACTCCTTCTACCTCCCCACCTCCCAAATATACCTCTCTTATATTCACTTTATACAATTTCTTCTATGATACAAAGGAAGGGAAAAAAATGAAATTCCCCCCCTCATTTTGTTTCCAAAACGATATGCTTAATCTATCATCAAATTATACTTCAGCATTAAAAAAATAAGTCCACTGTCAGAAACTGTGTCCATAATAACTACACAATACTATTTTTAAACATATTTGCTTCAAATATTTTTTTAAAAACTATATAAAAGTCAATAAACCTGATTAACTTTACATTTCAATACTGTAAGAAGATGAGATATATTTCTGACCATGTGACCTGGCCAGTCCCAGTGTAGCTGAGGTACCTATAGCATCTTCAGGTGGCAGGTCAACTGCGTCTGTGTAGAGGTACTGGAGAAAGGCACGATACACTGGGTAAGAAAACTGGTCTATTTCTATCACTTCTTTCATGTCCTCATTCCAATAAGACTGAAACATGGATCGAAAGTGCTCACACCTAAAACAGAAGAGCAAAAGATACTTAATTCAGCTGATGGAATCAGGTAAACAAATACTACAGTTATCCTTAACTACTACTACATTTGGGCCTGCACACACCAGGATCATGAATCTGTAGCTAGCACCCTAAAAACATTCCATGTGCAAGGATTTTTATATTTGTCTTTTATGTACACTTTCATTTTTGATGAGCACCTCCTGTGAAACATTAAGAATCACTCACAGAGCCTAGGAGTGCCTAGCACCTCTGCAGTACTGCAGTTTCCGGCTGATACTCCCATTCAAATCAGGATATTTTTGCTCACTTACTTTTTAAAAGGTATACAGAAATGCATTTTAAACAATGAAATTAAAGGAAATTAAAAAATGAGAGTTCAAACTTATCATTATAAATTCATTTAAATGATTCATTTGTTTTTTGTTTCATGTAAACAGCATATGTTCTTAAACCGGTTTTAAAGGTTAACTGGACTGTGGTTAAGCTGATTATTGTTTCATTACCTTACATGATAATTTTCCTTCTTTTCTGACTCATCTTCAAAATGGCCATCGCTGCTATTTTGTTTCTTTGCTTTGCCTTACTCCCGTTTCTCTCCTCCCAAGTCTGTTACCAGTTTATTTATAAAACCTGGATAATGCATATTTCAATAAACCTAAATGGGCCTTCTTGTATGTTAACACATACAAATCTACCTGTATGAGGAACTGATTTCCAAATATTACATTTTCTTAAAGTATAATATACTTTATAGTTTTAAAAAATCATCTTTCCAAATCTTTAAAAAATGAGATAGAGTATAAACAAAATATTTTTAAAATCCATTCAGAATACTAATAGAATGGCTTCACTTACCTAAGAAATTACTTCATCTGAGAAGTAAAAAGAAATGGTTGTCTAAGCAAGGAACAGTAGGTAAAATGATTTAGAAAACTACACATGAAAGGAATAGACTGGTTGCCCACAGGTTCACAGACAGAAACATTTCCAGTCCATCTTTCGATTAATACTTTGGTGCAGATACTTATTTCCTCAAGTAATGAATGACATATGGTGTTTTGGTTCCCTTAAACGTGTTATTGTGTAAATAGGTTTTTAACTAAATTTCCAAAAAGACTTGTAAATGGTCACTTCAATTCTCAATGGTCTGATTTTATGTACCTCTTTCTCTGTAATGACAGCTTTAGTGAGCAACGGTCCAAACAATTATTAATAAATACAAAGTTCTCTCCATTCATACAAAAAACTCCTGCATGTAGCTAAAGAACATTTCTTTAATTGGGAATTAGATGTCCCTCAGGCGAGAAGTCCAGCATTATTCCTGACTATGAGAATTTGCTGCTTGGGGAAAATGAATCTTAAGAGTAAAAGAGGGCTTTCCCCTGACAATCTTTCCTATTTTTTGACCATGCACACACATTTTTTTGGTGGAAATAAAATTCACAGGATCCTTCATTTACAAACAACATAGACAAATACTTATACTACTACATTGTTTCTTCGAAAAGGCACGTGTGTACCTGCATATTCACATGTATGCACAAAACTCTTCAATAATAAGTAGAATATTACTATCTGCAAAAATGTCAAGTTGTGCCATTTCTCTTTACTGCCAAGGCTATTTCTTATCAGTCCCCATCTTATGGAGTAACAAAGAAACAGATGTTGCAAAAAAGAAAGTAAAGTTATTGATGTTTCAAAGTTCATGCAAAAAATACCTGATTTTCAAAACAGCTTTATGGACATGGATATATTTCCCATCAATTCGAAACTTTAGGTCGGCTGTTTCTGGACTGTCAAATTCTTTCTTCAGTGACTCTGAAACTGTTAAAAAGTCTTCATGCTCTGAAGGCAACGAACACATTATTAATACAGGAAGCTCAGGAAACATACTCGAGACTTGAAAGACTTCAAAAATATAATCACTAGCATTATGGATAATTCCATGAGATTTTTTTTCAAAAGAGTTCATGCTTTACTTGTATTAAAATACTTCATGCTTCACAGTATTAAAATCAGTATCGTGAACCTATACACCACCAAAAATTACATATTTGGAAAGGCCAAATACCGATCTTACATACTAAGCTAGACACTAGAAATATGTTTGTTTGTTTTTTTTTAAAGAAATGTTATAGGTAGTCCATGATTATGTAACTACTTGCTCAAAACTTGAGTGGTTCTCTTCCAGGGTTATGAACTGACTGATTTTCCTTTACAGGAACACTAAGAACACCTTTGCCCTGCTTTGGGGTAGTTGTAAGAGGTTAAGTATATTCTACTCAAAGAGTCCCAAGAAACAAACTCACCACTTAAGTGGTGATGCTAAGCAGTATGTTCTCACGTAGAGACATCTATAGCTCCCCAACACCCACACAATGCAGAGCTCTCTTGGCTCTGGAGGAAAGGTCGACGATCTCTCAAAAATCAAGCTTTCCTTGACCTGTGACGTGTATTACCAGTGAATTGAAGGACATAATTACGATGGGCAAAAAGTCCAGGAGTCATGATCGCTACCCTACCCATCTAAAAAACAACTTCTTATCAGTGTCTCAACTTCTGCATCTAGTTGAAATAATCTTTTTCTCTTTTGGTTTCTGGCAACAAGAATAATACCTCCTTTTGGAGAAGAAATATTCTTCTGAGGTGTGAATTCACCATCTGACTTTCTTCCTAACACTCAGCTGAGATCATAAATTGAGAAGAAAATAACACTTATGGCTTTTAATAGATGAAAGAGAGAGAAGCCATTTTGGAGATATATCCAGTGACCATAGTTTTCCAAACTTAACATTAAAAAATGTTAGGACACTTGTCTTGAAAAGGATGCCTTTTCAGGATTAAGACTTTAAGGTGTGAGAAGCTGGGGAAGCTTTTTATAAACAGGTCGTGTTAAGTAGTATGTGGGAATCGGAAGATGTAGATAGAGTGCTTTGGCTGTGCATGGTACATATGTGTGACTATGGCCCAGTAATCCCATTCTGGGAACTAAATTTTTTCTAATTGTAACATTCACTATAAAAAAAATTACTATATTATAGTTAAAAAACCTAGAAATATAAAATTTGCTTCACTTTAAGTTGAGCAGCTTAAGTCTTCCTAAATATGCTCTTGCCTGTGAGACCATGAAGTCTGGTCACCTGATGAGAGGACTGCTCCAGCTGTCTGACATACCTAGCATGACAGGTATTACAAGGCTAGCCTCCAGTATCAATTGCTAAGCAACCCAAATCCCTTGGATATTAACATTCAAACACAGAGTGTCATGACCCAATTATGCCCTGTTTATATAAACAAAAGAACAGCTTAGAAGAAAGACACTGGTAAAAAGGCAGAAATGAATAAGAAATAAAAGAAAAAAGATTAAAATCTCTGTTAATGGCTACTTGGCTTTATAACATCTTAATACTTTCGATCAATAATGAACTCTTAAAGAAGACAATATTCAGAAAAGGAACAGATTATGTAACCAAAGGTCACTTTGAATTCCACTATCTTTTATAACAGCTCTGTTTTGATGACTTTCTAAAATAAAAGTATTTGAGACTGGTTGAGAGAAAGAGAGAAAATAGGGTTAATACATCATCTTAAAAACTACAAGTTTGTCACTTTTTTTTAAGTTCATGTTGGGGTCATATTTTATTGAATTATGTAATAAATTTAGTATAACAACAAAAGACTTAAGAACAGGTTACTCAAACAAATATTTGTACATGAATGCTCTTAATGGTATTATTCACAATAGTCAAGAGGTGGAAACCATTTAAATGCCCATCAACAGATAAATGGATAAATGAAATGTAGTATTTACATGCGATGGAATATTATTCAGCCATAGAAAGGAATGAAGTACTGATTCACACAACGTGAGGAGGCCTCAAACACATTAAGTAAAAGAAGCCAGACACAAGAGGCTGCATACTGTATAATTCCACTTATGTGAAATATCCAGAATAGATAATCCATAGAAACCGAAAGCAAACTGGCCCCTGGCTGTGGAGAAGGGAGAATGGGGCGTGATTGCTTTAACATTTTTTAAGGGGATGAAAATGTTTTAGAACTTGATATAAATGGTGGTTGCAAAACATTGTAAATGTACTAAATACTTCTGAATCGTACACTTTTAAACGGCTGATTTTATGTGTGTGAATTTCACCTCAATTAAAATGAAAGCACTAAAGAGGAGAAAATAATAAATCCACATAATGTTTTATAACATATTAAATTATATTATGCAAATCTAATTTGGGGAAAGATATTAAAGTTAATGGAGAATAAAACATTCTAGAACCTAAAAGAGCCCACAACCAGCAAATATTCAGGAAAACAGGTCAGTTGACAGGACCAATGGTCCTGGGTGGAAGTAGCCCTGAGCTTCCTCACCCACAGAGAGGAGGCGCCACGAGACGGCGGGCGTGGCAAAGCAGGCGAACACGTCGTCCGTGCAGGAGAAGCTGGTGAGGTGAGGCAGGATCACCGACTGGCCCCGGCACTGGCCCCACATGTACACGTGCCCGCCCTGGGTCTTGGCGGCAGATGTGTGGGCAGAGTGGCAGGCCGCAATCTCTACTACCCTGAAAAATTTAAGAAAAATGCATGCCATTTCTAAATCAAGAAGCCCACAGCACATTGCACAAGGTAAATAAAAAGTTCATGCTTGTAACATCTCAAAAAAATAGCTCAAGATCAAGGGACATTAGCGATCAAGTCATATAGACAAAATGAAAAGACTGGAACAAGAGCACTGTGTTTGTCCCTTCCTGGTTGCCCCACTTCTTATCCTCGCCCCATTCTCAGTGAGGATAAATAACACATACTGTTGAGGAAACCTGGAAAAAGGGACTAGAAACCAAAGTAAATGAGCAAAGTGGACTCTGACAAAATGTCCTGATAGTCCTGGGGGCTTAGACGGTAGGGAGGAAAAAAAAAAACTGTCTTCAATATACCATTTCCTTACAAATACAACTTTTTCTCTCATCTCCTACCAGAGCTCAGACCACTCGTCAGGCTGATAAGCACTGGTCTAGGGGTCATGCACTCTGAGGATCCAAGGCCAAATGGACATCAAGCCAAACTTATATTTCTCAGTCTGCTTAGGCAGGGTCCCAGAATTAGAAGTCACAATTTGGCTGAAGAAACATTAAGTATCTATTCCAGTAACACATATAAAATCAAATCAATATTTAAACAGATAATGTCCTTTCAAGGGCAGATTTTATTTATTTAAAAGTTGTTTTAGTTGGCTCAAAGGGAAAGTTTGTACTTCAACAAAGTGATACACCCTATTTTACTTCCCTACTAAATGGGCAACAAGAAGTCTATAGGAATTATACCAAGATGGATTAGTGCCTATCAATCACAGGAAGTTATTTTAGAATGCTGTGTAAGAATCATATGAACTTCATGTTCATTCTGATTGGTACTCAAACTCTTAATTCAAAATGAGAGTGTTAATAAACAGAAGAGTTACAAAGCCAAACACCACAGCTCCAGCACACACAGTCCCAAGTCCGCAATGCACACACAATTCCAAGACATTGTACAGCCGAGTTACCTTTCTTTCTCCACCATGATGTGTACTGGGTTTAGCAGGTTATTTTTATTGCCAGTTCCCAGCTGCCCATACGTGTTAGCTCCCCAGGCATAGAGCAAGCCCTCATCTGTTAGTGCGAGAGTGTGTGCATAGCCGCAGACAATCTGCAAGTAAATTTAAATGGTTACCATAAACAGGAAAACAGGAAGGATAGGGAAAACATCTACTTAAAGATTACAGCCAGCTTCTGCAAATGCCAATTCATCATCATGTGTGGACTAACATTTTCTGGACCATTAAAAAAGCATTAGAAAAGCCTAAACCTGAGACTACTGAATTTTTCCAACTGCTTTTTTTTACTTGTCAAGACTGATGTGCCACCACCTTGGTGTTGCTTCGCATCATCATAATTTAGGGAAGATATAATATTAAATGTGGAAGATGAAGGCACAAGGCATTTGAAAAAATTTATTGAAGAGTAAATCCCCAACATTCCTCCAGGTCAGAGCAGGGAAGAAAGACAGGGATCAGCAGCTGAGAGTCTACCGCACATACCTGGTTCACGCACACGCTGTGCAAAGCTGCCACTCTCACAGGGGTCAGCTGATTGCCATTGTTTCCCAAGCCCAGCTGACCATTGCCATTGTAACCCCAGCCATACACCTTAGAAAGAGAAAGGGAGAAAACGGCCTTTTAAAATTGCCAGTAAGAAGGAATAAACCAATCAGGCACACTTTTTTTTTTTTACTTCCAACACCCATATTCTACTCTGTGTGACCCTGCACTGATCCCCAAATAGACGACATCATAGGGAAGGGAATGAATGACAGAATTTGGCATCAGTTGGGTAGCCCTGGGCAAGTATTAATTCCTGTTTTCTATGGAAGGAAGCTGAGGTCATTAACAATGATTAAGCACCTACTGTATGTCAGGACATTGTGAAACGAACTAGGAATATGTCTTTGGTCACAGTTTAACAAGAGAGATGAACATATGCAAATTTTCCGCAGCTAGGTGTCAAGTGCATAATAGTGATATAATCGAGGCATTACTGGAGCAGAGAGGAGAAAGGATTTAACTATAGGAAGAAGGCTGAGGAGATGTGAACAGGGCTGAAGGATAGATGAGGGCCAAGGCATTCCAGGTAGAGGGCACAGAATGTGTTAGAGGCAGGTGGGCCTGGCTGGACTCATCTGGGATAGTGCTAGGAGAAAAGACTAGAAGGAAAGGTCAGAGAAAAGGGGATAAATGTACCAGGGAAAATGGAATTCTTCAATGGGTCTTTCACGGAAATATTTCAAAACAGAGATTAACACACTTAAATTTTCACTTTGGAAAGCTCACCCAGGTTGCAACAGGAAAGGTGAGTGGAGTGTGTAAGACTAGAGGTGGGAAGGCCATTCAGTAGATAAACTGGTCTCTCATAAGCAACTAGGTGAGCTCTGATGAGGGTCCAAAACTAGGCAGTGACAGTGGGGCCAAAAGAAATGGAATGGATAGGAAAGAGGTTAGAGAGGGCGACGTGAGAGAATGTGGTGATCCTTGAGATATCTGGAGTGAGAGGGGACTCACCAGCTGAAAGCAGCAGGCTGGACATCGGTTCGGCAGGAGAAGGTTTAGAAGAGCCAGTGTAGGACACAGGAAAAAGAACAGACCAGAAACAGACAAAAAGTCTAGCTCAAATTAGAAACCTGAGATGTGTGGTGGCACCACGCCCCACGGCAATGCAGGGCAAACAGGCATCAGCTGGGACTTTTCAGGGCAATGTGACAGAGGGGAAAAGGGGACATGGACTTTCAGGTACTAGCGAGAGATAGTAGGAAGCATTTTCAATGTCAGAAGTGTAACAGGTTAAAATTTGGCAAAAGACATTAAAATTTTAATAGCATACACCCTGACCCAGGAATCCTATCTATGGGAACTTATTCTATACAAATACTTGCCTATGTATGTGTACAAAGATACAAACAGTAACACAGAAAATCAACACAACATTGTTTATAACAGCAAAAAATTAGAAACAAGTGAAATGTCTATCGTAGAGCTCTGGACATGGGTCATCCACGCAAGGAAAACTAAGCGTCCGTTAGTATATGAAAAGCAGCTACGAATGGTTTGAAAATAGACTCGGGTAATCACATGTTGTTAAGCAGGGATGTTAAATAGCAGAGAAAGGCAGTAGGTATAATAATCCCGTTAAAAAAAAGGTAATTATATTCATCTATATATAACTGTTTATAGAGAAAAGTCCAAAACAATATAAAGCAAGCTACTAACAAGAATGAGGGGGAAAAAAGGAATGGGGAAAAGGTATTCACTGTTAACTTTATATGTTTCATTTGTTTTCCTTAGTTAAAACAACCATATAATAATAATTTTTAATAAAATTTATTTTTAAAAATAAAAGGGAAGTAACAGGAATGGAGAAGGTTATAAAACAATCCCAAGGAATTCTGAAGTCACCCAGGATATCAGGATTGATTCAAAAAACAAGTTGACATAGGTGAGCATTCAGTAAACAATAAAGCACTCTAGCACCCTAATACATGATTCCATATGTCTGTGTCCAAAGATCAAGTCTGGATAATTTTTGTATGCTAAGACTTGCATAGGTGGTAACAGGCTTATTTAAATAGCTAACAACTATCAGAACAAACAATTCTGCTTTTGCAAGTTGCTTCTTCCTGCGAGCAAACATTCCAGACGTGGGCAGGTGGTTCCACAGAGACATCGTGCCCAGTGAAGTCACTAACCACTTATGAACCTCATCAGCTAACTTTCAAGAGTGCACAGTTGATTTTTTCCATTGGAAGAATAACATATACCAAATTCTTTAATCAATTACATTAAAGCACAAACAAACAGATACCTGTAAGCATTAAGGTACTTGGATCTTGCAAAAAAATGACATTTAGACACATTAGAATCTTTACCTACAGATAAATCTTGGAATTTAAAAACTCATACTGAGGAGTAACCAACCTATGGTTGGTTACTCTTCAGTTGGTATCAACAGAGCTGTCAAAACAGAGTGCTCTTCCTTCCACGACCTAATACATGCACCTCATGAAAAAAAAAAAAGACATTTCAATGAGAGAGGAGGTAGGAGGAGAAAGGGGAGTGTAGACAGAGCTCACCTCACCATTGTCCAGAACAGCCATGGACGAGGTCTGACCACAGGCGATTCCTACAACCTTCTTAATATGTAAACAGTTTGTAACTTTGCGAGGAGTTGGTTGATTTGCTGTTGATCCTGATCCCACCTGGCCACAGTTGTTATAGCCCCAAGCAAATACCTACACAAGACATAGAGGAAAAAAGAAATAACGGTAAGGGTGAAAATTCTACCTCTAACTACAATAATAATCATAAAATAAAAATAAACCCACTTGACCGAGTACTTACAATGTGCTTTATATGCACTAAACCTATTTAATTTTCATAATAATTCTGGAAAGTGACTCTAGGGTAGATACTATTGTCATCACCATTTTACATATAGAAATGGAAAAACAGAGAGGTCAAGTGACTTGCTTGGGGTTCCACAGTTAGTGAGCAGTGGATGTGGAATTCAAACCCAAGTATGTGCTCTTAACCACTATGCTGTATTGCCTCTATAATTATGGCAGCTACATAAGGTTCTAAATCTGGCATCAAGAGAAAATGAAGTATATGCCACGTAAGTATCAGGGATATGAAAAATTTGCTTAACTCCTTGGCCACAAATATTCTTTTTTTCATGGAAACCTTTTGAAAGCATACTATGCTTTTCCCTGTCTCACTAGTCACCAATACTGGCCATTATGTAACCTTTCCTAATGACTTGGGACCATCGTGATTATAATTATTATCAATCATAGTTCCAGGTCATAACACAGTAATGCTCACAGACACTGAGGAGACATTTATCCCCACAGAAATGACACCAAGTTGTTAGGCTACTCTTGGTGATATTGTGTCTGAGTTCTCATTTGCCGTCAGCTCCAGGCACCTCTCCTCCTCAACTGCATCCTGCTTATTACTTTTGGTCTGTGATCTGCCAAACCTGAAAACCAGATATCTAATGGAGAAAGACACAAACAGATCTCTAAGCTAGTTAAAATCTAGTAGCAAAGATGAGAAACAACCAAAAAAATCACTTCAAGTTAATTACCAACTGATTTTATCAAACGGGAATGTGATCAGAGAAAAGAATTAGGGGAGAGGGAATATTGGCAATAGAGAAATAACTTCAACACTAGGAGAACTTCTAAGGACCCCTCCCACCCGCCTTCACTTGCCTGCAGGAAGTGGTCCTCACACAGGCCGAGTTCTGGCTTCCACAATCCCTTCTTTCCTCTGTCATAATTTTCCATCTAAATTTACATGTCTAATGCTGCCCAAGGCAACCTCAGTAAAGCCCGCTATGGGTGTCTTGAAAGAATATGTGCTACAGGTTCATCGCAAAGGTACAAAAGGAATAACCTGCAACACTTCCCTGAAAGTGGGTTCACGGGAATATCTGGTATAATAATGCAAATGTTTAGCACTATTATCCATGGTAACATATACTTAAGGTGAAAATTACCAGAAATCTCAAGTATACAACTTAGCAAGTTATAATTCCAACATTCTTCTGGCACTTCTCAAATATCTCTAGTTCCCTTGCAATGCAGCTACCTATTATTTAAAAAATAGGGACAACAGTTCCATTAACCAAGAAACAGATGAGGAAACTGGATTCTGGGGCATAAAGCCTTCATGCTAGCCCTGGCTCCAGTACATCCCAGCCACGAAATCTTGATCTCCCTGAGCTTCTTTGGTGTCTTCATCCATAATCCAGACTGCTTGGTAAAATCACTCTAATACTACTGAAGAACTTTAAACAGAGAACGAAATAATCTGATTTGTGTTTCGGAAATCACAGAAGGTGAAGAAGTAATATTGGATAGGTAGACCAATTTAAAAGCTATGGAATGAAAGAGATCATGGCAATAGTCCACGCAGATGACAAGGCCTGACCTACAGTTATGGAGATGAAGAGGAACAAATGATAGAAAAGATTAGGAGGTAAAATCAATAAGATGAGTAACTTTTCAGTTTTTTTTGGAAAATAAATGAGTGGTACAATACTACTAGAATGCTGGTAAAGTTATTTTCTATGACATCATTATATTTACTGAAAAACAAAATACACCTTAAGGAATGGGGTCATTAAAAAAAACTACAGAATACTTCCAAACACATCTAATTTGTAGTCTTAGAAAACAGCATGGGACTCAACTGTCTTAAGACTGAAGTCTACTATCATCAAAAGAGTGGTCCTCATCACATAATATAGGCTGTGTTAGAAAAAGAGTGTGTTCCCACAATGTTTTTAGCTATGCACACAGGGCTACTATGTTCACACTGTACCGAGTTCAATATGGTTATTATTTTTGTTTTAAAAACAAGGCACTTACACAACAGTCAAAAGGTAAAATCAACCCCAATATCCACTGACATATAAATGAATAAACAAATTGTGGTATATACATACAATGGAGTATTATTCAGCCTTAGAAAGGAAGGAAATTCTAACGCATACTACCACATGGATAAACCTTGAAGACATTATGCTACGTGAAAGAAGACAGTCACAAAAGGACAAATACTGTATGATTCCATTCATTAGAGGTACCTAGAGTCATCAAATTCATAGACACAGATGTAGAATGGTGACTGCCAGGGGCTGGGGGAAGAGGAGAGTTAATGTTTAATGGGTACAGAGTTTCAGTTTTACAAAATGAGAAGAGTTCTGTGGATGAATGGTGGTGATGATAACACAACAATGCAGATGTACTTAATGTCACTTAACTGTACATGTAAAAATGTTAAGATGGTAAATATTATGTGTATTTTACCACAATTTAAAAATAAAGAATGAAAGCAAGGCACTTACCTCTCCATCTGCTGCCAGAGCCATTGAATGATGTGAGCCACAAGCTACTTCAACCACTTGCTTGATCAAGAGATTAGTACAGACTTGGATGGGAGCAATGCCTTGGTTGGTTGTCCCATTCCCAAGCTGGCTATATCCATTGTGGCCCCAGGCGTAAACAACTCCATCTATACAAGATGGCCACACACAAAGAATCAGCTCCAAGAAGAAATGGCAACCCCTGTATTTTCTTCCCCAGACTTTGCACAACTCGTTTTCCAAACTTAATTTCTTTCACACTGCCCTTCCTCCCTGTAACCACTAATGAGAGGAGGGGAAAAGAGGGATGGATGAGAAAACAGGACAGATGCAAAACCATTTAAAAAAAAAAAAAAAGGACTTGGTACTAAGATAGAAAGAAGATCGGCTTTGTGGTCAGAAGTCAGCTTATATATACAAAAATCAGACCTACTGCCAAGGCTGATCTAGCTACTACTATTGCTGAATGCCCGCTACACCAGTAACAGAACCAATGCAGAGCCCTCGATACACCTGTCAAGGAGACCATCTAGCTATTTCGTAGCAAGATGACTCCAAATGGACCCATTCCAGCCTAGAAGCAGCCATCCATATTGACAAAAATCAACACATAATCTGGATATGGGGTTTCCTGAGCCTAGAGCTATCTGAGGGCTTACAGAGTATTTAATCCACTGACATAGGATCTCACAAAACAGACCATGGAACCCACTTTATAGCAAAAGAGGAGCAGCAGTGCTCACTGGTCCCGTAATACACTGCAACATCCAAAAGCTGCCTGCTGGTGAGACCAATGACAAGATGGCTTGGCACCCAGGTGACACTTGCCCAACAGTGACTGATGGTAAACAGAAATGTGCAGCAGCCATGGTCAGAGTAAAGCACGGTCAGATGCTCAAAACCCTCAAGGGTGAGAGTCTGGGTCACAGTCAGGTAAGCCACCCAAGCAGGTGCTAACCAAATGTGAAGGGAATCTAGAAGGGGTTCTAGAGGAAAATGCAGATGAGTACTAGTTGTGGCCAGGAGACCAGCTACAGTGCAGAGGGTGTAATATAATCCATTAAAGATCATCTTATAAGTTTTCCCTAGGAAAAGAGGCCCACCTGAATCTTGGAGCAGCTACACTCAAAAGATAAGAGGACATGGATCTGAGCAGTGCATGGCAGAGACCTAGTGAATGCTGTGCTGTGTCACCAGATGCCTCCCTCAGGGTTAAGGACTCCCTCCCCAGATGCTCACAGTGTACCATAAATCCTCTCCAGATCTGCCCTTGGCAATTACCTAGTTAATACACTATTTTGCTATTTGTACAATAGTATACATACATCTTTTTTCCCTTTTTACTTGATGAAGCATAGAAAAAGTGAACTCCTTCACAAGATGGTTCTTAGTCCCAATTCCTGGGGAAGCTTTCAAAGCCAATCCAGTTCAACTGGACACCAGAGTCCCCTTGCCACACTGTCTCTAATAGATCAAGCATAAAATCTTAGGATTACTTGAGGATGAAGAGATGAGCAAAATTACCCGTCGATATAACAGTGAAACAATACCAGGCTAGAAGGGAGAGTGGGGAGTGGGGAAGGGAGAGAGCATAGTAAAGCAAAGAAGCATCTTGTGAATGTCTGATCTTCAAGGAAACTCAGTTTAGCCTTCACAAACTGGACACTGGGTTGGAGAAGTGACCAGAAAAACATAATTTTACAAGCAACCTAATTTAACGTTACTTCAAAGACAAAAAAAAAAAAAAATCTACAAGTATAGGTCTGTAAGTGAAATAATAATACCAAATGAATATTGATCTTCAGAGTAGTCATCAAGTAGAGCATAGCATTAATGCAAATATTCCTGAAACACCCTTTAGAAAATACCACACAGGCCAGTAAAGCACGGAGAATTGAACGGATGTTTTTAATCTTCGTTCACTCTCCCAAATCCTCCTGAAATGAAGGTAAAGAGGAGGAAAAGGGGAAGAAATACTCAAGGACAAGAACAACAGAGAAGAAAATAAAACAGGAGAGATGTCAACAAAATTTTGGGAGCTGGAAAGCATATGGATGTGGTAAGTAACATAGCAAGCAGGCCAAAGAAGGTGACACCTACATCAGCAAAAGGGGCAGCCAATTCCAGCCCTGAAATCTCAGGAAGGCCCAGAAATTGGAGGGACTGGAGACTGTGGGAGATGCAAGGGCAGGGTACAACCGAAAAGAGAAGCAATTAGACCTCAAATCCTCGTCCTTTTTCTATGAGGTCAGGCAACTACCCCTCCCCAAGCCTGGAAAAAGGTAAGAGACATAGAGCATTTACTTGCTGTGAATTTCTAATAGTAATGGCACTGCGGCCCAACTTTTCCCTTACCCAAACCTGCTTCTCTCCCTTCCCCAACAATACACAACAAAGAAAATACGACAAGCTCAGAGAAAATAATCCGGAGAGGCCCTGAAAGCAGCAGTTAGGCATCGTGAGAAAAACAGAACTGGAAGTCCATAGATTGAATACTAAGATCCCTGCCCTTCCCTTGCTCAGCATCCAGAGAGCTGGCAAAAACAAAACAAAACAAAACATATCCCAGATCAGGAAACTGGAAGATTCCACCCTACAGAAATTCATACGCTAATGTGGAGAACATCCCGAATGAACAATTATTATCTCCCTAAAGTGAAGCTCAGTATTTGGCAAGTCTCACCCATGGACACAGAATTCCCAATAGGTATATTATCACCTGGCTCTTACCTATGAACAAGTGTCCAAGGATCATCAAACTTTTAATACTTTTTACTTAAAAGTCAGAAATCAGAAAAACAGGCCAAGATGGCATAGAAGCTAGATGCCTTGAACACCTCCTCTCGCGACCACACCAAAATTACAAGGACTCTATAGAGCAACCATAACTTGGAGTCGCCTGAGGTCTGGCTGAACAGAAGTCCTACAACTGGGGACATACATAAGAAGATGGTAGGAGGGGCAGAGATGGAAAATGGCAGGTCCCACAACCACATGTGGTGGTTGAGAATTGGGAGGGTTATCTTGGCTGGAGAGCCCCCTCCCATTCCTTAGGAGCGAGGGGTCCCAGCCCCACACTGGGCTCCCCAGCCCAAGGTTCCAGTGCCAGGAAGAGAAGTCTCCACAGCCTTTGGCTGTGAAAATCAGTGGAGGTTGCAACTGAGACAGAGGGCAGTGGGAGTCACAAACATTCCTCCTAAAGGGCCCAGGCCCATATTTCCTCCTGATGGATTCACTCGCTCTGAGCTCCAGTGCTGGGGCAGCTGCTCGAGGAGTGCCAGGGACATACAGGGAGGTGCTGAGCTCTCAGGCTTCAAGGTGAGGACTGGAGGGGTGGCTTTCTCCCAGACAGAAGTGCTGGCAGCATCCATTGTTCCTTGGTTGAGCCCTTACCCATGCACTGCGCAGATGCAGGCAGCCATCCCCACCTGAGTCTCAATCAACCTCAACGAACCTGGATAACACAGGTCGTCCTGCCCAGGTGATTCCCTGAGACTCCACCTCTCTCAACTCGCAGGCCCACCCAAGCTGCCTCCAGTGATTTATTCCACACAAATGGCCTGGCTCAGCTCAGGTTGAGGACTTTCTCAAAATCTCTCAAAGGCTCACAAACTCATTAAAGAAGCACTTGGCCTCAGCGTGCCCAGTATCTCTTGTTGAGCAGCCTCAAGCCCTGCACTAGCACCTACTGGCCTTGGTTTCTGGCTTAGCCTCTCGTCTTAGCCAAGTATGGGTGGCAGACATCTGCAGATTGCTTGGTGAGTCTTACCAGGTGGCCCCAGAGGTGTACAGGCTGTGTCTGAACCTGGCCTACAGCTGGGCCTCTCACAAGAGGCCCTTGGGCCCACACACCCAATGGCCTGCTTTGACCAGCGATGGAAATGGAGCACCACCTAGGGCTGCATCTGAGGAGGACACACCTGAAGGGCAGCCTGGGCAGGCAACAGAGCCCTGGTAAAGTGAATCCTGCTCTGTAGGATCTGCAGGCAGACCCGTCCTCACAACCAATCAGCCCAAGGGTCAATCCTTCCCTTGGTTGCAAACAGCAACCAAGGCTCCATTACAACATGAGATCACACTCAACCCACAAAAGGAAAATATCTTTGAGCACCCTGCTCAGGTTACCAGGGAAGACTGTGCCACTGGACCCCCAGGACACCTACAACATAAAGCCACTCTACTAAGACCAGGAAACTCAGGAGTCCTACCTAATACATAGAAACAAACATAGAAAGACAACCAAAATGGGGAGACAAAGAAACATGTCCCACACTTTAATGTTCTTTAAAACAGAACAATGCTCCAGAAAAAGAATTCACCAAAATGGAGACAAGCAATCTACCAGATGCAGAGTTCAAAAAACTAGTTATCGGGAATCTACCAGATGCAGAGTTCAAAAAACTAGTTATCAGGATGCTTGAGGAACTCAGGGGAAGAGTAAATGAACTCAGAACTTTAACAAAGAGAGAGAAAACATAAAAACGGAGATAGAAAACATAACAGGGAATCAGTCAGAAATGAAGAATACAATATCTGAGATGAAGAGTACATTAGAGGGAATCAACAGAATGGTTGAAGTGGAGGATCAAATCACCAATATAGGGGATGGTAGTGGAGGACACTCAATCAGAATGGCAATAAAAAAAACAGAATCCAAAAACATGAAGATAGTTTATGGAGTGTCTGGGATGACATCAAGCATAACAATGTTCGCATCACAGAGGTGCCAGAGGAGGAGAGAGAGAGCAAGAAACTGAAAACCTCTTTCAAGAAATAATGACTGAGAAGTTCCCTAACCTGGTGAAGGAAATAGACATACAAGCTCAGGAAGTACAGAGAGTACCAAACAAGATGAACCCAAAGAGACCCACACCAAGACATATCATAATTAAAATGCCAAAGTTTGAATACAAAGAGAATCTTAAAAGCAGCAAGAAAAAAGCAATTAGTTACCCACAAGGGAGCTCCCATAAGACTGTCAGACAATTTCTCAACAGAAGCTTTGCATGCAGAGAGGAATTGACACAAAATATTCAAAGTGATGACACGCAAGACCCTACAACCAGATTACTCTAAAGGAGTTCATCATCACCAAGCCAGTATTACAGGAAATGTTGGAGGGACTTCTTTAAGAGGAAGAAAAAAAATATATATCAAAAATATAAACAAAAAATGGCAATAACTACATATCTATCAATAAGTAGTTAAAATGAAAAAGAAATGCTCCAGTCAAAAGATAGGGTGGCTGAATGGATAAGAAAGCAAGATCCTTATATAGGCTGCTTACAAGAGACCCACTTCAGATAAAAGACACACCAGACTAAAAGTAAAGGGATGGAAAAAAATATTTCATGATGGACCTGCAGGGTGTTGTACTGAGTAGAGTAAGTCAGATAGAAAAAGACAAATGCCATATGATTTCACGTATGTTTAGAATCTAAAGAACAAAATAAACAACAACAACAAAAACAAAACAGAAGAACTCATAGATACAGAGAACATTTTGAGAGGTATCAGATGGAAGGGGGTTTAGAGGATTAAGTGAAAAGGGGGAAAAGGATTAAGAAGTTCAAAATGGTAGTTACAAAACAGTCATGGAGGTATAAAGGACAGCATAAGGAATATAGTCAATAATATTGTTATAACTATGTACAGTGTCAGATGGGTACTAGATTTATTGGGGAGATCACTTCATGAAATATATAGATGTCTAATCACTATGTTGTACACCTTAAACTAATATAATATTGTATGCCAACTATAAATGAAAAATAAAAAAAGTATTTAAAAAACAGTGTGATGGGAAGATGCTAGGTTTTCTATTTTAATAATATGCAATATAGATAACAAAATTCATAGTAAAAGAACTGTAAAGATAAATATGAAGCTATTTACTATGCATTGCCTCTGGGGTCTTTCATATTTTACCCAATATGGTTCTATATTGTGCTAAAATCTTGTATGAAAATGTAATCATGTATCACTTGCATAATAAAGAAGTTTCAAATCAAAAAATAAAAATAAAACACCAAAAGTTAAAAAAAAAGAAACCATAACAAAGAGAAACAAGAAATTTGAGAGAAAAAAAGAAACAATGCAGAGAACAGAAAATAATTTTTAAATACCTATAATTAAAACAGCGTCAAAGATAAGATATTGAATTCATGAAACAAGAATAGGAGGGTCTAGAAAAGAACATTTAGAGCAAGGATCTCCAAACCCCAGGCCACGGACTAGTACTGGTCTGTGGCCTGTCAGGAACTGGGCCACAAAGCAGGAAGTGAGCAGCAGGCAAGTGAGCAAAACTTCATCTGTATTTGCAGCTGCTCCCCAGCGCAAGCATCACCGCCTCAGCTCCACCTCAGATCATCAGGCATTAGATTCTCATAAAAACACTGGTCTCTGGTGCCAAAGAGGTTAGGGACCACTGATTTAGAGAATGTGGAAATGTAACAATAGAAATGTTAAAATTTGACACAAAGGTAGTATGATAAGTTGAAGAAATTTCCCAGAAAGTAGAATTTCTAACTTCTAAAAAAGATTCCAGAAAGAAGAGACTAGAGAAAACAATGAAGGGAAATTATTCATGAAATAGTATATGAAAATTTTCTAGAAACAAAGGAATTTCCAAATTGAAGGACTAATAGAATGACCAATAAAATAAATTAAAAATTACCCGCACCAACCAGAGTATATAACTGTGGTTATTTCAGAACACTCGAAATAAAAATAAAAGAGGCCCTTAAAGAGGAAAAATCAATAAGATGCAAAATAGCAAAAGTCAGAATGGCATCAGCTACCCTTGAAACTTGAAAGGTGCAATGACTTCAAAATTCTGAGGAAATATGATACCTAGTTAGGAATTCTAAACTCCGCCAAACCACAGATCAATTGCAAGAGTAAAATAAAGACATTTTAAGACAGGGTCTCAAAGATTTCTCTCACACCCCTTTCCTTGGGAAGCTACTAGAGAATATGTTTCGCCAAAATGAAGGTATAAGCCAAGAAGAATTATAGGACACAAAGAATAGGGGATCCAGAGAGAACAAAGGTAAGGGAACTTCCAAAGACGATGGTAAAGTGAAGTTCAAGGCTGACAGCGGTACAGCAGGCCTAGAACGACCAGTCCGGGCTGCAGCAGTGGGACAGAGAGCTCCAGAGATGACTTGATATGCTCAGATGTACTGAGAAGCAATACTGCAAAAGAGTTTGGGCATATGTTAATGATAGATGTATAGAAAAGTAAGTAAACGAACCCCAGGAAAACAAACAGTTGTACAAGAAAGGAGATGGCTCAGCTATAAATAATATTTATGAGTCCTAATAATATAAACGCTGAATACTGATGTCACCAAAACAGTGATATCACTATACTGAAAGGATAAAGGGAGGGAAAGTAGGGGAAAGAGCTAAATTCTATCTGCCATTATAAAAAGTCAAGGGATAATACCTGAAAAAATTAAAAGTGGTTCCTTCTGAAGAAGAGTTTCTAAGACTGAGGACAGGGAAGACAGAAGTTTTTTACTAAAAGCCGTAAACTACTTGAAAATTTAAAGTTTTAAGTTGTTTTAAAACTATGTGATTGTAAAACATATAAGATACGCATGAATATATGTATTTACATGTATTGGTACATAAATACGCACAGCGTGTTTAATGTATATTGTATACTTGCATAATATAATGATCAAAATTGAATTAAAAACAAAAAAACAGTTATTTATATTTTTACTTTGTTTGTTTATATTTATATCTTAATTGTAACACTCAACATAGGTAAAACTGTATTATCTGGATGCTAAAAATAATTCCAAAAAAAGAGTTATAAATTCCTAAGATCATCACTTTGAAGAAAACCAAAAATTTGAATGTATATGTTTTAGTATGTTTGCTCTAAAAAACTGCCTCAGTAATTTATGGTGAGAAATCAATCACCAGTTAAAGTTGATATGTGTCAGGAAAAAATTAAATCCTTAGGTCACAATGGATGACAGGTTGAACCAGTTGGCAAAGCTTTAACTGCTTGAAAGAGCCAGTGTGATGCCAAAAGGCATGATTACACAATGCTGAAGTGACATAATCACCTCATTATGCTCAACGCCAGTTAGACTCTTACTAGACAATCACGCTCAGGATCTCTGGATCTCACAGTTTCAGAAAGATGCAGATAACTTAGCGTGGATTCAGGTATGAGTTAAAAACAATTGAAAAGCTAAAGCTCAATACGAAGATCTAGAGCAACATCCAAGGAAGCTCCTAGTCTGGAGAATGAAAGGCAGGGGAGCAAACTGTCTCCCAAACGCCACTCTACAGGATCACCCAACAAAAAAGCTGAGGACCTCTGCTAGAGAAAGAGCGAAAACAAGAGCTAACGTGCCTAAAGTGTGAAGGGAAGAACTTAGGTTATAAATAACATTTTCAGAGACTTCTTGTTGCCCACAGCGGAGATAAATGGTCAAAGATGAATGCACAATCTTCTTTAGTGACCTCGGGGAGGCGGAGAGAAAAAGGAGAGGAATCTGTCCCACATTCTTTCCACATGGCACCAACAAGAATGCCAAAGAATAAACTAAAATGTCTTGAATTCAAGGTTCAGGAGCTACAAAAAGAATGGAAAATCAGTTTTCTCTGTTTAAAAAAATGTACCAAGTCAAACCTGAAAGGTCCCTTGTTACCGCAAATTCACTGAAAAATTAAGTTGGAAGAAGCACTTCATTTGCTATATCTAATCTTCCACAACTTTAAATAAGTAGCCTCCAACTTTGCTTAATTTGCAAGTCATCCTATGGCTGGCTGTTCCAGAGTTAGTCTGAAGTGTAAAACTTTTACCCTTCAGAAATTAAGAGACAAACCATTAGACATTAATTATTTGATCCAGCTCTACCTTAGTTTAGAATTAACTGCTCAATTTCCCATGAACTGAAAAGCTGGAATTGCGCCCTCTTTACCTTCAGTGCTGAGAAGAACATGTGGTCCACTCCCATAACTAAGGCTTTTAATCTTCTTTCCACATAAGGCTTCTAACTTCTTGGGTACGAGTGTGCTCTGGCTATCTCCAGTTCCTAGACAGTTACTATAGTTCATTCCAAACACAAAGACCTGACGAACAAATACAAAGACTTGAGTCGTTTGGCTTAAAATAACACAAAGAGTCCCTTATTCGCTCTGAAAATAAGACACAATCCAGTTCAGTTTGACAGCTCAGTCTATAGGAAGAGACTGAAAAGGCTGTGAAGAAAAATTCAACCTCTGCCGACAATACTTAAGTTTTAGCATATTTGGCTATACCATCAAACCCAGAGTAGTATGGGGTGGAGTGGTATTGAATCAAGAAACTGAAAGAAAAAACAAATTATATCAAAGACTGTCTTCTTGAATTTCAGGTTCTCTTATCCCCTACATTTTCTCAGTCTTCAAACTGCATACTTCTTAAAGCTCAATCCCAAAATAAGTCCTAAAATTAAACTCCGGACTTTGATTCTTACCTCGTCATTGTCAGTAACATACAGTGCTTCATTGGCTGAGTTGCCAAAGACACATGCTTTCCGAATGGATGCAATTTCTTGAGGTGAGAGCAAAGTGAAGATCGGCCACTTTCCTACATCTACCATGACTCTGGCTTCAAGCAAGTCCTATAGATAAGCTGGCATCTCTGCTGTAACAAACAGAAAGGATTCCAAGAAAAAAATTAAATACCCATTAAAGAAAAGACACTTAATAAATGGAAATGAACGGTAATTCCTGAATAAACTACCCACCTTGGTTAAATAGACTGCTCGCTTTCCTCAGGAATGTGTTTAATCCTTCCTCCACCTTCAGACTTAGGCCTTCTCCTGTAATGGGAGGAAAACTTGCTAGAACCAGTTGTTGGTCTTGCACACTTAAAAGTCAGTGCTTATGTGTTACATACATGCTTATGTGCAAGCAGACAGCATATAATGGAGGCAGGACATGCAAACGATGAAACCAGGGTCTCTCATCAGGTATTTTTTCTCCCCAAGTATTGAAATAAAGTTAAAGGTTATAATACTAGTTTGTGTAAGATAGTTAATTCTCTACTTAGGGAGGGAGGGAAGAAGAGAGGGAGTTACAAAAATCAGAATCATTATCTCTACCGTCCCACTCTCCTACTACCACCACCAGAACGCACTAAAAGACCCCCGCCCCTTGTAGAAAATCACTGTCACACCAAGCCACTGTTTAAGGATGGGAATGGGACACCCCTCAAATAGTCTAGAGTAGTAAAAAAATTAAGAAGCACTAGCCTGAGATTTACTAGGTGAAACCTTAAATTAAATTATATTCTCGTCCTAATTTATATGACATTTCCTACATGTATACAGACCATATTTCATTTCACATTGAGAAAAGCTATCATATGAACAAGGATAAGGCAATTCACCCTAATCCTGCTGTTAAATCTGATGACTACAGCCTTCATGAAAGTAGCATTTAGCTTAAATGGTACCCCCCGAAAAGTAGAAAAATGTATGAATTTCCATGCAATTCTAAACTTGATCTGTCTAAGGAGTTTTACACAAATATTCCTGGTCATGGCTCCAATTCTTCTAGGGTTAAAAAGTATTTCTAGAAATTCCAAGGGGTTGCCTTATTGTGCCAACTTAATTTCCATTCTGGCTCTCACCTCTGAAAACTGAAATAGAATCAAACAGTTGATTCAACCAGGGCTTCCTAATGAGGTACAGAACTCTTGAAGTTCCTTCCTACTCACCCTCTTCTCAGACCTCTAAAAATAGCTGAGAGAGGCAGGCTCAAGACCAAGGTCTTTTTCTGGCTCCAGCACCTATGACAGCATCTATAAAGTGAGCCCCAGGGCATACTTAGCCAAGGCCTCGGTTTCCACCACCCAGGGAAATTTTCCCCACCAGTACAAATTGGATGACAAGGATGAGGTGCCCGTTATGCCCCAAGTATCACACCACAGGTTCAGTGAGCTTCAACACCATCAGGACAGGCTGCTCCTTATCACCGCATAACCAGAATCCAGGAATGACATTTGAATGTTCTGAAAATTGTGTGTGCATAGGGTGTGTGTGTGTGTGTGTGTGTGTGTGTGTGTGTGTGTGTGTGTGTACAGGTAAAAGATTTGGGGAAGGGTAAAAACTAATACATAAACATGTTAAAAATTTTTGTTTCAAATGGTACGATAGAGTATGGGAAAGCAAGTCTCCGTGCCCTCTCTTCCAGACCCTCTCCTCAAAGGCAACCACTCTCGTCATTGTTTTAATTCCTTCCAGAGATAGTGCATTATATTTGTGTGTGTGGAAGCTTTTCTCCACACAGCACATCTTGGAAATCATTCTATATTAGAACATGTAGACCTACTTCATTTATTTTCAATGGTACTAGAGGGCATTCTATTACATCCATTTAACAATGTACCTGTTTTCACTGAGATGTGTTTTAAGTCACTTGCAGTCTTTTGTAACATGAACCATACCACAATTACTGTTTGCATATATTATTGTAAATACATGTCTTTTTGTGTACATAAACTTCTTAAACTCTTAGAAATAGAATTGCCAGGTCAGAGTCCAATAGCAATTTCACCTTTAATCACTTTTTTAAATTGTCCTCTACTGAAGTAGTACCAATATATAAAACCACCATCAATGTATGGCAGCATCTGTTTACCCACACCCTTACTACACAGTATATTATTATGGTATCTCAGTTTTGTTTAAACTTTAATTTCTCTTATGATGAGTGAAGCTGGCATCACTTTTAGAAATAATCACACTAAGAACAACAATAACAAATAACACTTCTTGAGCATTATGTGCCAAGCACTGTTCTAAATATTTTACACTTGTTAATTTATTTAATCATCACTTTATAGACAAGGAAACAGGCAAAGAGATATTAAGGATTCAAGCAAGGATATCTGGCTTTCCTCTGGGAAAAAGGGTTATTGCAGCAGCTTCTCAGGCCTGATTCCACCAGCTTTTGAGCCCCTGACAGCATGTGTGCATGGGAGAATGCACTTCTCAGACCACATGCAATTGAGAATGTCATGTGGTTATTAGCCTATGTCCATCATAAAGTTAATTCCAGTCAAGATGTGCTCACCTCCCTCCATGACCACATCAAAATTACAACTAAATTACAGAACAATCACCCTGGAGAAGTAACTGAAGGCTAGCTAAACAGAACTCCTATAACTAAGGATTTAAAGAAGAAGCCACATTGCTTGATCCAGTCAAGATGACACAGTAGCTAAATGCTATGCTTGCCTCCTCTCATGACCACATCAAAATTGCAACTAAACTACAGAACAGCCATCTCTAAAGTCTAGCTAAAGAGAAGTCCTATAACTGAGGACATACAGAAGCCACATGGAGACTGGCAGGAGGGGCAGAGATGCAGGATGAACTGATCGCACACCCATGTGCGGTGGTTAAAAATGGGGAGGGCTATTACAGCTGAGGAGATTCTCCCCAAGGAGAGAGAGGTCCTTGCTCCACACCAGGCTCCTCAACCCAGGATTCCAGAGCCAGGAAGAGAAGTCTCCATAGCTTCTGGCTGTGAAAACTAACAGAGATTGTGGGTAAGTGAGATGGAGATCACGTGGAGTCCCAGATATTCCTCTTAAAGGGCCCATGAATGGACTTCCTCACTGATGGACTCACCTGCTCTGAGTTCCAGACCTGGGGCAGCAGCTCAAAGGGAGCCAGAGACATACGAGGAGAAACTGAATTGTCTGGCTTCAGGGTGACAGCTGAAGGGGCAGCTTTTTCCAAGACAGAAGTACTGGCAGAATCCGCTGTTCATTTGTTGAACCCTCCCCCCACACAGCCGCAGATGCAAGTGGACACTATATCTCAGTCTCTGTCACTGTTCACCCTGCTCTGGTAATTCCTGAAGACCTCACCTCACCCAACTTGTGAGCCCACCCAAGCTATTTCCACTGGCTTTTCCATACAAATGATTGTCCTAGATAATGCTATGAACTGTCTCAAAATCTCTCAAAGGTTCTCAAACCCCAGACAAGCATCATTTGGCCTCAGCGTGCCACGAACCTCTTACTAAACAGTCCCAGGCCAGACACTAGCAATCATCTGCAGATCACTTTGTAGCTCAAACCAAGTGACCCCAGACAGTCAGAGACAGCGGCTGACCTTGGCCTGCAATGGAGTTACTCCTAAGAGGTCCCAGAACCAACACACCTAGTGGCCAGCTTTAGACCACACCAGACACCACTCAACCACCTCCAAAAATGACACACGAATAGGGCGGATGGGGCAGGCACCAGAGCCCAGCTAAAGTGAATCCTGTTTTATGTGGTCAGCCTCTGCATAACAGCTCCTCCAGCATAATAACAGCCAGTCCTCACAACCACTCAGCCTGAGGGTCAGTCACTCCCACTGACATGCAAACAACAACCAAGGCTCAACACAAGGAACACATGCAGAGCACCCGGCTCAGGTGACCAAGGAGACTATGCAAGTCTCCACAGGACATCTACTACATAAGGCCACTGGGAGACACAGTAGCTCTACCTAACACATAGAAAAAAACACAAGGAGGCAGCCAAAATGAGACAAAGAAACATGTCCCAAATGAAAGAATAGAACTCCAGAAAAATAACTAAACAACAGAGACAAGCAATCTATGATGTGCAGAGTTCAAAACACTAGTTATAAGGATGTTCTCAGTGAGAGATAAGAACACAAAAACAGAAAACAGAAAAAAAAGCCAGAAATAACACAAAAACTGAAATGAAGAATACATTAGAAGGAATCAACGGTAGATTAGATGAAGCAGAAGGCTGAATCAGCAATTTGGAAGGTAAGATAGCAGAAAACACCCAATCAGAACAGCAACAAGAAAAAAGAATCCAACGGGAGAGGAAAAAATGGCATAGGTGATAGAGCCTCTGTTCATCCGTCTTGTGAACAAATCAAAGTTGTGACAGACACAAGGAGCAAACAGCAAGGAAAATCACCTGGGATCTAGATGAACAAGCCTTACAACTAGGGAGAGAAGTAAGAAATCACCCTGCAACAGGAGGAGGTAGGACAGGGCGAGGACACACACAAGGCTGCCTGGTCTTGAGTAGTTGAGTGGGACAGAAGTCACGGCAACGGCAGCTGCAGACGCCTCTTAAAGGGGCCAGTCCGCGACCGAACTTTCGGGTGATGGACCTGCTCGCTCTGAGCACCAGCTCTGGGTTGGCTGCTCCAAGGGCACCAGGGACTTACAGAGGGACACTGAGTTGTAGGAGTGAGGGCCAGAAGCGAGGCAAGGCTCACTCTGTACAGAAGTACCAGCAATATCCACTATTCTTCTGTTGAGACCTCCCCCATCCTAGTGCGCAGACTCAGCACCACCATAGTTGAGACATCATCAAACTGGATAATAGAGGTTGCTCCGCCCAGAGGATTCCCTGAAACTCTGCCTCTCCCAACTCAAGGCCCTACCCAAGCCACTTCCAAATGTATCCTCGGTGAGTCAGGTGCCTCTTGTTGAGCAGCGCCTGACTGATACTGGTGGCAGCTGACCACAGTTTCTGGTGTAACCTGTTGAGGCAACTATAAGTACAGCATCTGTGGACTGCTTGCTGAATCTTAACAAGTGGCCCCAGAGGGGCAGAGGCTGGGGCTAAATTTGTCCTACAGATGAATCCCTCTCAGGACTGTGCCACAGGACACCTACAAATCCACACTAATATGACCGGGAGACTTAAAGCTTTGCTTAGTAAACAAAATCAGATGCAGAAAGGCAGCCAAAATGGGAAGACAAAGAAGCAGAAACCATATACAAGAATGGAACAGAGATCTAGGAATAATGGAATCAAGCAATCTTACAGATG